CCAGAACCATAGTACAAAGGCCTCAATTATTTGGCGCTCAGCCTTCCTTATGGTCCAACTTTCACAGCCATATACATTGCAACTGGAAAAACCACTAGTTAACTGCTAGGCCACATGTAGTCTAATTCTAAGGGAGAATATTTTCACGGACTTCTGAAGCAAAGAAGACCAAAAGAAACTTCTTGCCTTAACCTTCTTTCCCTTTGGAAGGTTCCAGGATCAGGAGCCACAAATATGCTTACTGAGAAAAGGCCAAAAGTTTGTTTTATCCCGATTTAAGCTAACCACTGCAGAGAGAGCCATACAAGTAGGAGAGCCTCCCTCACCTTATAGTGTTGCAGTGTGTTGAGCCTCTTCCAGCTGCCCTGGATAATTGAAGTCACATCCTCGTCAGAGAGAATGAGATGCCCAGCCAGTCCAGACCGCCATTCTGTTGTCATCACCCAGAAGAAAAGACAAAAGGCAAAAATTGTTAGGAAGCAGCACTCTGCAAAATTCCACATTTGTTCATCTGGCAGGCTATTGACTATTGCAGTTAGTCAAGTGATCCTCCCCACAACCTATTGTCTAATTTGATTCATCTGGATTGCCTCACAAAAGCATGGGAATACTTTTTTTGCAATTGCCTACCAACATGTGTTCTGACATAGGCTTCCCAAGAGCATGAAGCAAACTCCTGGTTCCGACAAAAAAACCTTTTATTAATTTACTGTGAATTTTGCTCATTAACATCCAGTAAAGTCTTTCAAGAGAGGATTTACAGTCACAGACCTTATCTGGCTTGGAGAGCTGCCAGGCTGATATCTGCAAAATTTGGCAGAGTCTCGGAGAGTCACGAACCAATAAAGCGAACTAATTGTCTCCTGCAAACTCCACTCCCCTTTTGCTCCACTTTATTTCCTATGTGGGGGGCCATTCATCATCCACCTGTGGCCTTTCTCCCAAGTCGACCCCCGTTCTTTCGCTGTTCCCTTCCTCTGGCAACTCTGTGCACGAGCACACTGGGAACAGGCTCCAGCTGTTCCTCTGCCTCACTGATGTCTG